GGAACGAGCTGCGACGAGTGAGCTATCTTTGAAGAAAAAACCATGTATTTCTGCTCAGGCGTATCAACGGCGGCTTGAGCCCATCAGAGACCACGTCCGCAACATACAAAAAGTTCAGCTAGCAACGGATAGTTCAACTTTTTATAATACAGCCTGAAAGTTCTGCCATGATGGGTTTCGGAGCTGCGCATAACAACGTGGATGTGACGATTCTTTTTAATCAACCACAAATGGCGAACACTGGCGTAAACTCCCTTGAATTCCCAATGACATAATTGTGGTAAAGCAGTAACATTAATAAATGGCGATACATATACTGTTTCGTTACCGTTATCCTCATGTGGTAACAGGATTGTTACAATTACGTTATCCAGCTAAGAGGTAATAATTACACTGGAATTCACGTACCAATTAGCCCTGGTAGTTATTGTAAATCCCGAGATAACGTGTTCGGTTGCCATGGTCACAGAATAAGAGACGTGTGACAGAGGTTTTCACCAACGTGTCGGTTGCTGCCTTATTCTCGCCGTCCGAACAGGACGGTGACCCGGCCGAGAGAGGTTGCATAATGTTTATCCTTCACATAACATTGGTGCGTCTCGGGCATCGCTGCACATTACAGCATACGGAGATCGCGTAAGACCGACGTCACACTCGTGTACGTATGCGACACATGAACACACGCACACATACGCATACAAGGAAAACGACTTATGAGCTGAGTAGAGGTTACAAAGGTTTTAAGATGAAGTAATATTTTTAGCAGAGGTCTGACCGTCTGAGCGCAGGTACGCCTTGCTCAGGTACGGTAGATTGTTCACCGCATGTTCGGTCATCTTGACCGACGTCACACTCGTGTACGTATGCGACACATGAACACGAGCACACATACGCATACAAGGAAAACGTCTGAGCGTATGAGCGTAAACGTATGAGCTGAGTAGAGGTCACAAAGGTTTTAAGATGAAGTAATATTTTTAGCAGAGGTCTGACCGTCTGAGCGCAGGTAAGCCGTGCTCAGGTACGGTAGATTGTTATTTAGACGCTGACGCTAGCCTTAAGGTCGACGTTACGTTACTAGGTTGCGCGCCAACGGGCTCGTCAGCTCTGCCGCGTTTATCTTCTTACCTTTCTGCAACACCTGAGAGTCTTTTGTAGAGATTCATGCCTAGACCTTATCTAGAAGCATGCCAGGAGGCTAGCGATCATCGTTTGTGGTGAAAAAATTCAACTGCATTCTGAGGCAAATGCATCCAAATGCATCGGGTTGACATTGCAATTTCGAAATTCCTACTATCACCTGATGGTGCATCTAGGAATCATGGCCCGTACGTTCTCGTGTTCCCTACTGTATGTTAAAGCAGCTTCGTAAGCTTGAAGAAATTAAAGGCGTGATTCAAATAATATTATTTGATTCACTTTTAAGCTTACTCGTTTCTTTATACAGTTTCATATAATCTGATAAATGTTAATATTTAAATTTATCATAAATTGTCACATTGGCGTATATATCTATGTACGTGGCGATCACCAGGCGATAACAAACAGGTCTCAATATAAAGCTTTCAGTGACGGTCAAGTAGTTTAATAGCAGCATTTTACCTGAAATAAAATGCATATTAAAATACTTACCTCACTGAAAGCTTTCACTTTAAATTCTGCCTGGTGAAATAATTGAGCCAATGAGTTAATATGGCGCTGTCAAAACATAGGAAAACAAAAATGGCCGCGCTTCTGCCAGGTGTCGCCACTGGACCGGAAACAAGGTGAATAAAATTACGGAAACTGATGGTAATTCGACGGGAAACGGAAGTGCTATCTCAATATAAAGCTTTCAGTGAGGTAAGTATTTTAATATGCATTTTATTTCAGGTAAAATGCTGCTATTGTCTTTGTATGTATAATATATATTAATTTAGTTAATAAAATACTCTGTTTAAAAATCTTTTTTGTAATTTTGAGTTTATTTATTTGTCCCTAACTACCGTCTTCCATCTTCCCTACTGAAATGAACCCTCTAATGCATGTTCATGTTGAACATGCATTAGGGGGATCAAACCATTACATTAGATTTGATAAACCACAGATCCTTGCAATTGAGCAACGATTCATTCATTCCTAGAATGATACGCGAGGCCATTGAGATTAAAAAATATCCAAATTTCAATAGGGAAGATGGTTGGTATATACCACCAGTTTGGGAACCCATTATACAGGAGATAAAATCCCAACCCCGAGCACACATTGCAAGACCAACAGATACTATTAGTTCTTTTTGTTTGCATAATTTAACATAAGAAGGTGATAGAAAGCCTCTCTTGAGTTTGTTTCGCCGGTTCTTCTCAGAAAGGTCTCCCAATTTTGGAACCGGTGGTAGTTTACGGTAGTTAGGGTCAAATTAATAAACTCAAAATTACAAAATAGAATTTTAAATAAAGTACTGAATTAACTAAATTAGCTAATAAATTCATACATAGACAATAAAACTTAAAAATCGAACAATGAAATAACCGAACGCTCAATAAAAGTTTTTCGAAAGTAGCTCGACAAAATTAAATAAAAAATTGATTCCGACGAAGCAGCCTGTAAAGGCTGCGAAACGTCAATAAATAAATAAAGTTTCCTGCATTAACCCGTGAAAATAAAAAAAAGCTAAGGTAATAAGTAATATCTAACTATATTTTTTTGACACTTTTTTTCATTCCTGTCCCACTATCAATAATACGGATGGAAAGATAATTATATATTTGGATATAAAAACCGTCATTCGATTTGTGACACGGAACAATTGATTTGATAACGTCTGCGTCTTACGAATCCGGATTTGTTAGGGTTGCGTTGCCCCTTAATATCTACACAATAGGCTTTCCCAACATTATTGATATTGTTAACAATAGATTCACTCGACCCTAGTAACATCATAGAAATGAAAATTATTTTCAAGAAAAGCCAAAATAGACCTATGTCGTTCCTTTAATCCTTAAATCCAATAGAATGTGGAGGATTCAGCTTTTGGCTAACAAGTTATTTTTATTAGTGAGCAATGTTGCATTGTATGGGAGTGGAAGAAGTACATAGAATACGATTTTTTAAGCTTTCCCCGGCTTTAGTTAATCTGGTAATGGACAGGGTTGTTTTCGGATAAAAGTTTTGCAAATTTTGGGTGTTGTTACTGGAGTATTATTTTTATTCATATTTTTTAATACCTGTATTATGGCATGCAACGAAAAAGCGTCGTTAGCTGCGTACATATTTCGATGTATTATTTATCTTCGTTACATTTTGCATATGATCGTTTCATGAAACGTTGTTTAACGGACTGCATAGTGAATATCTATATTTAATTCAATCATAAAAATAGTCTTTTTTCCATATCAATCTTTGTACTAAGTCCAACGAAATATCATTGACTTGGTCATATAAAATTTTACACGCAACGCTAGTTAAAACAATTGGCACTTACTTGTACACAAACATATCATAATTTTATTTACATAAACTTTTACTTTAACTTTACTGTGCTTAAACATTTTGTGTTAGCTCCTAAATTGAGTGACCTATTTTTTTAGAAATTGCTAGCATTATAGAAATAGAGTTTCAGTAATTTATGCTTGAAAGAAGCCGATCGCCTTCTACTCATACAGTACAAGGGCGTTTAGTAAAGTGAAAAACATCGAAATTTTTTTTTCGAAAAAAATGTCTTATTCTCTGCTGGGTTGTGTTTAATTTGTTCCTATTTGCGAATATCTCTATATCAAAGTACGATATTATATTACTATAATAACAATCCTTACAAGAAATCTCTCGTAATTTTATTTTTGTAAATTGTTACCTTCAAAATTTCCACTAATGTGGAATCCTTTACATTTACAAAGAAAATATTACCTACTTATAAATGAGAAAGTCGTTATTATTCCATTACGTCGTAGTTATGCATATTAATGTCTCTTTCGAAGAAATCTGGCTTAATAACAATATTCATATATGTGTAGCTCTAAATCCGCTTGCGAAATTATTAACTAAAGCTAGTTATAAATGATGTTTTTGATCAAATACCAAGAATTGATACTTCTTTGAAGTTCATAAATAAAATAAACGTTTCCAATAATGATGGTTAGTAATATATTCCCAGTGAGACTAGTAGAGAGATGATTGAAAGAGGTACTGGAGGACAGCATAATAAACTTATGAGAAATTTATGAGAGAATATTCCAGTGAAAAATCTGCAGATTTTTTAAACTTACATCCTTAAAAACTCTCCATTTGTCATATTAGCTGTTGCTACGGCTATTTAATAAATTATTGCAATACAACCAGCAATGTATTTAATTTACTTTGCCGATATAAGTGACTAGCTTTAGCTAGCGACTTTGTCAGTGTTATGATCATTTTTTTTTAGAATCCCACTGGAACCTAACATTTTTTCGGGATAAAAAGTATCCTATGTGTCAATCTAGGTTAAAACTAAATATACGCCAAATTTCCTCCAAATCTGTTCAGGCGTTTAAGTGTGAAAGAGTAACAAACATTCATACAAACTCTCTAGCATGATAAGTAGGACAGGATAGTAGGAAGTAGGATATGATATTTTAGCAGATGCAACAAACGTACATTGCGTATTTGAGCCTTAGACTCTTTTGATATGTAATATGCTTCCAGTAATTTTATTTTTGAAATCCTAGTAATATTATAAATGTGAAATTTTGTATGTTTGTTACTCAATCACGCAAAAACTTCAGAACGAATTTGGATGAAATTCGTAGTTTATGATCTGGATTGAGACATAGGAGACTTTTATCCTGAATAATTATTATAGGTTCTTGTGGAATACTCAAATAACTAAAGTTATGCTGACGAAGTCGCGGGCGGCCGCTATTTAATGAATATTTTGTACGGATCTTTAATGGTAGGTACGAATTTCTTAGTAAGTTTAAGGTCCGATTGTTTGCTGTTGTGGTAGCATTTCAGTCCTTTATATGTAGGTCTTTGTTTTGTTGCAGGTTTTGGAATGGCTTCAAGAAGATTTTAGCCGGTACTACGATCAGAACAGGGCGCCATACATGATGCCGTTGCACACAAACTGGTTCCAGATCAAGGAGTTGGAGAGGGGCCTCCAAAAGTTCTTACGTTGGGCGGCCAACTTGTAAGTATTTCTTTAATTCTAATGTTTTCACGCAGGCTCATACTAATGTTTTCACATACACTATACCACTTACGAGCAGGTTCAAAGCGTGTTTTCTATTATATTCATAATTATTATATATATTATTATACATAATTCTTGATGTTTTGGACCCTTTACAGGTGCCGTGGTCACTTTCGACCTTATTTTTAACATATTTACATTGTTTGGTCTCCTATCCTCCTATTTATATATTTACATATTTGCTAGTATACGAGTAACACTCTTTTTTTCGTAACGGGCGGAAAGTGAAGACCTATCACACCATACGACTTTACTTATTGAGAGGCAGAATATCAATGGTGACATTTCACGAGAGTAACAAATTGGTACTGTAGTCTCCTATTTTCATTCCTTATTTTACCCCCTTCAACATTTATTATTCTCAATGATGGTGCTACCTGAAGTATCCTTTTAAATACCAGAGGTACTTGTATAAGAAGACTGCTCTCCTGGAGATAAGAGTTAATTAATATATATACCGCAATGTTTTAAGTGGTTTTTAAGATTGATAACATTCTAAAATACAAACAAAATACATATTAAAAGCATGCGTTTGACGCTCACACAATACACACTCTTTAGACGTACTAATTTAATAAAAAGGTCGATTTTAGGGCAGTACCGTAGAAGGAGACCGCTGGTATATAAACACCAGTACGTGTCCAAGGTATTTTAATCCAAATATTAAGTTCGGTGTTCACGGCAGTTTAGTGTACTATGTTAATGTTTTTATTGTATTATATTATTATCTGTAAACTATTTTATAGACATCCAATTCGAATTAAACTGACTTTGATAACGTTGCACCAGACGTCGTGCTGGTGAAATACATTAATCTTCACAAAAAAAATATCAACTGCGAACTCAGTGTTAATTAAAATATTGAATACCTACGACAAGTTCTAGATCTCATCCAAGAGACGGGAAAATTAATGAAAACTCTAACTAAAGTTCGCTTAGTAAGGCGTCAGTTTTAATAATGGTACCATACCAAGGTTAACGAAGATCAAAGTAGTAATAAATATTACTCTCCAAATAAGCAGAGCTTGTAAGTACTGAATAATAATAAAGAATATCTTATAAAATAAGATATTTAATAACGAATAAAATACACTCAGGTTTAAAATTATACTAGCGACCACCCGCGTCTTCGCCCGCGGAATAAAAAGTATATTTTGTCTCCATCTAGGTAATCAACTATATGCCTACTAACCAAATCCTTTCAGCCGTTTTTGCGCGATTGAGTAATAAACATACAAAATTTCACATCTTTTAAATATAAAAGAAGAAACTAACTGACAGTCATTGCACAGCCCAACCCCTTGGGTCTACAGACTCCAAAGTTGGCACGCAGGTTCTTTTTATGGGTGCATTATAAAATGATTTTTGCAAAATTCAACGCCGAAAGGTTCAAAATAGGGGATGAAAGTTTGTGTGAAAATCTTATTACTTGAGTTGATAGACTTAACTTGGCACGAATACTTAACTAAATAAATTATAAAGTTTGCCATTTTTGGTTTGTCTAAACTACCACTAAAAGGGGTAGGAGGGTGCCGAAGTTTTTATATGCATGAATTTTAACGCGCATTTTATTAACTCGAAGCTAAGTATTCTATTATTACATTTGAGGTCATAAATAAAGAATAACATCTGTACCTAGGATGAAAGGTTGTATGATAAATCTTATTCCTTGAGTTAATAATTTAATAAACTTGAAATCTGGTACTTTTCCTGATCTAAATATGTATCTCAAAGAAGGACCAGAGCGACTGGCTAACAATCAACGCAACGCCCAAACCGCTGCGTCCAGAGACTCCAAATTTGGCACGCAGGTTCTTTATAAGGTCTAGGGGTACACTAAGAAGGAATTGCTAAATTCATGCCCGAAGGGATTAAAATAGGGGATGAAAGTTTGTATGAAATATCTTATACCGTGAGTTAATAGACTTGAAACTTGGCACAAATACTTATCTAAAGAAATTATAAAGTTTGTTATTTTTAGTTATCCTAAACTGCTCCCTAAAAGGGGATCGTGATGGGGAGGGGAAGTTTATGTTGATGAATTTAAACGCGCATTTTGATTAACGCGAATCTTGGCATTTTTACGAAAGACCAGAATTAAAGAATAATGTGTATCATCATTACTCACCTACTCTCAGTTTTTATACTTGAGACCTGAAATAAAGAATAACATGTATCAGGGTTTTTGACACTCTATCCTTTACGGGTAGAAAAGGGGCAGTCAATTTTACTGAGGAGAATTTTACTGCGGGGCTTGTAATTTTAATTTAATCGAAAAACGGCTGAACGAATTTGGGTGAAATTTGGCACACATAGTTTTTTACCTGGATTGAGACATATGATAATTTTATTCTAAAGGAAAGGTTAGGTTCCCGAGGGATTCTCAAAAAACTAAATTTAACGTGAATGAAGTCGCGGGCGGTCGCTAGTAAATGATAAAATTTGCCATTTTTTGTTTGCCGAATATCGAAATTTGAAATGAATTTGAATGAATGAATGTAAATTAACACGCATTTCGATTGCCGCTACACTATTTATTAAGAACAAAGTGTATCAGGGTTTTTTGATAATTTACCCATAACGGAGTGTAAAAGGTATAGTGAATTTTACTAGGGAGTATTTTACTGCGTTCTTAATTAAATCGGGAATGGGTGTAAATAATACTTGATTCAATTAGGTACAGGCGCCAATGAAGGCCCACTTAATTTCAAAACCTCGTAAAATCTTGCAGATAAGTAATGTGAAGAAAAAACATAATGGAAGTTGTAATAAATTTCTCTGAGAAACATACAGTAGTAGTAGTAGTACAGCTTTTGGCATTTTAACACAAATGTAAACACTTTTTAGAAACTTGGTATTGGACTATCTTGGGAAGCTGGTCGCTGAAGATGGCCCGAAAAATATTAATGAAAATATATACATTATGAACACTTAAACACTTTAAACATACAACATCAGAATAAAAACACATCCTTCTCATAACATTATTCATAAAAGGTAAAAACCAAAAATTTAAATGTGGGCTATCTTAAATCTATCTAAATGAAAATCAACTATAAAATAAATACAAACTACTAAATAAAATAAAATTTAACTTAAGATCGACTTTGATAGTAACGCATCAAAAATTAATGATTTTTTTTTCTAAAATTTCTTTTTTAATGCCATTCATAGGTGGGCTATCTAAGGAATACTGAAAATTAACTTTGAGATCAATCAAAATATACTGAATTATTTATAACAAATTAGGTGCTACTGTCTTTAATTGATTTCTGTCCACTATTTGAGAAGCTGTTAATAGTTTTTTTGTGCAATTTTATTTTAAATCCTACTTACCAAAATAGAAACGGATTCTGCACGCTCCCTGAAAGCTTTGTTGCGTTGACTTTTCTTGAAGAGAGACTAATTTATAGCTGTAATTATTTATTTATTAATCTTGATTAGATGTAAAAATACTACTCAGGTTTATAAGCTGCTTTATTATAATTACATTTGTTAAGCGAAAATAAATTAAAACAGCAAAAAAAAGAACCTTTCAATGTTGCCATGCTTAAAAGAAGATCCACATCAATTAGAACTGTTCGTCGACAAGTGACCAGTTGAGAAAGGTTGGACATATTTGTTTTTTTTTATTTTAAATATAGGAATAGCCGCCTGGAAAATTTACGACGTAGGTGTAGATACCCTATTTCAAGTGTTCAAGAATGATCATAATTATACATTTCAACCAATTATTATTTGTTTTGAAACTGAATAGGTATGCATTAATAAAATGTACGGTATTCAGTAATTTTATGAACAAAACAAAAAAAACATTGGATAAAAGCATTTTTGCCAGTCGTGTAATAAGATGCTTAAGGTAAATTAGCTTAGCGTTGTTGTTTAGGCCTGGTCAATGGTTTACATTATACGTTTTTCTTTTGTTCGTTATGCTCTCGAGATGGAAACAACTCGAATCTGATTCAAACCTCTTTGATGTACATTAATTTTTCTTTATTCACGTTCTTTTGTTATGTTTGCGATTTATTTTAATATTAAGTTAGGACAGGAGTCTTTGTTTAAAATTAAATACACATTTTTGATTAGCTAGCGCGTAGTCTATATTTTCTGTTATTCTTGCCAATCGGCTTACTCTTAACATGCAAATAATAGATACCTTTATAAAATAGGGGATTAAGAAGAAATTATAAGCTGTGTTACTGTGTCCAATACTTTTTATTAATTATTAAATATATAAATATTTTCAACACTCACACCAATTAGCCTGGCCCCTAAAATAAGCACTGTAAGGCTTGTGTTATAGGGGGTACTAAGATAACGGATAGAATACGTATACTGCTACTCTACTTTCCTATATAAACATACTTATATATGTAGATATATAAGTATGTTTATATAGGAAAACACATAACATTCATGACTGAGAGTACAAATGCTCGTATTCATCATATGAACATTTGCCCCCACCGGGATTCAAACCCGGGACCTATGAGTAGGGGACACCTTAAATCCCGGCGTAAAATCGTACATACGCTCGGCCTCGGAGGTTATTGACTGTCTTATGGGAAAAATTAAATGTTTGTTACTTCGTCTTCTGATGCACACATGCACAATTAGATGGTGTAGCTGTGGTGAGCATGTTTAGTCTGTGAAGTCAATCGATTTTTGCAAAGACCTGTAATGGGCTGGGCGACCTTTGTAAGGCACTTTAAGAAGTAGGTACTTGGTGCTTCTACAGGTATAACGAAGTGGTTACTTTCTTTGTCTAAAGTCTTCAGCACCCCCAAAGCCATACTCCTACATAGACAATAAACTTTTAAAAATCTTCCAATGAAAGATCCGAACGCTCAATAAAAGTCTTTCGAAGGTAGCTCGACAAAGTAAATAAAAAATCATTATTCTGGCGATGCAGACCTGAAAAGGCTGCGAAACATCAA